AACAATAAGCAGAGTCATGGGCCCCAGTCCCAGTGAATGCATCTACAAAGTAACTCTGGCACCTAAGGCTCAGGTAATATTGCAGAAGAGGGAACAGAAGAAATAGAATAGCCAGGGTATCAGGGAGTTTTCTGTGAGACTGTGTCTCTAGTAGCATCAGAAGCAACACCCATAAAGTCTCAGCAGCACGAGCTGAATAAAGAAACAACATGCCAAATAGACAAGCCAAAGTGAACTGAGAAAGTAAAAAACCCAAGACGCCTCAACCCTACAGGATGAATTACAGGCAACTATGAAATTCTGATGCTGGGAAAATAATCATCCTCAGAGAAGAACAGACCAATCGGTCATGTAATACCAAATGATCAGCCCTGAAAACATACAAATAAGAAACATTACACAGAATGAAAAGTTTATATTTACGAATATGTATGTGTATACATATATGGGAGGGTTTGAAAGGAGGATCAGGAAGAGGGAAATTACGTAATTATAATCTTAAAAATAAGGGAAACAATTTAAAATGGATTATTGGGAAATTCCTTTTCCTTAAACTTTGGTGGGGTCTTCAGAATTTGGTAATGTTCTGTAGTTTATAAACTTAATACAGTTATATTATGTAGTTCTTGTAGCAGGAGTTTATGTCCCTGGCCATGAACTTACCACATTTCTAAAATATATGTGCATATATTTGATCAGTGACACATGTTTCAAACATGACCCATGAAGTTGGTTGTAAAGTCTATAGTTTAAAAATACAATTTTCACTGTGCAAATTAACTATGCTATCCGGGGATCTAAGATATGGTCCTGACCTCATTAAAAACTGTACTTGAATCAGTCTCTAAAACTGTGGGAAGAAATAACTTGCTGCATTTAATAAGCTCATTTATATCAGTTTTGTGGCTTTCCTATCTGTTTTATAAGAATCCCTTACATATAACAAAACTAATTGCTTTAGTTTTCACTTCAGACACCAGGGTGTCCTTTACTTAATCCCCTGTGCTGTTTCCACATAATGGTGTTCTTTCTGTCACTCTCCCACAATGGGAACGCTTTCTTTGACCCAGACAATCAATTAAGTCTGACCTGTCTGGATTCATCTGGGTAACATTCTCTTTCTCTCTCTCTCTCTCTCTCTCTCTCTCTCTCTCTCTCTCCTCTCTCTCTCTCTCCCTCTCTCTCTCTCTCTCTCTGTGTGTGTGTGTGTGTGTACGTGTGCGCATGCATTTAACTGTGTACACTTATGTTTGCAGGTGTAAGCGTTGGCATGTGCATAAAGAGGTCAGAAGTCAACCTCAGGATCACTCTTAAGTGACATCTCCCTTAGGTTTATAAAGAAGGCCCCTCACTGGGACCTAGTGTTCTCTGGTCAGGCTAGTTTAGCTAACAGTGAGCCCCGACCTGGCAGTGAGTCCCAGGGACCCAGCTGTTCCTTGTCACATTTCCAGTAGTGTGGGGCTTACAAAACTGTATCACCAAGTAAGACTTTTTTATGTGGGTTCTGTGGATCAAGCTTAGGTCCTCAACTTGCATTCCCTGCATTTTACCAAATAAGTCATCACCCAAGATGCCACAGAGTCAATAATTATTGTTTCTTTGTGACAAAACATGGTTCCTATAGATTTTATTATTTGATACAAACAACAATCATATCTAACTCAGATCATAACATCCATGATACCACCCCCTGAAATAATTTAATAACATTTTTGACAACTTCTCAGTACTTTTGCCTCCACATACATGGTCTAATGTCTTTCAACATGTTATTTATAAAATATCTAAATCATCTTTGATATCAAAACAGAGAATTCTGAGATCTCAAAGCTCCAGAGTTTATGTCACAGTAGTCAGTCCTTAATCGTGTGTTCTTCCTCACAATCATTTTTACTAAAGGACATGCTAAGAGGCTGCAGCAATGGCTCAGGCAGTGAAGTCACTGCTCTGCAAGCTTGAGGAACTGTCCTTTACCCCAACACCCAAGGAATAAGTTGAATGTGGTGATTCAAATCCTGAATCCCAGCACTGGAGAGGCAGGGACAGGTGGATCCCAGAGGCTTACTAGCAAGTTATCTTTGTTTAATTGGTGAGCCCCAGGTTCGTATGAGGTACAGAAGCTTTGTTTCTGGGCTCCAAGCATGTGTAACAGAGGCTCTCTCTCTCTCTCTCTCTCTCTCTCTCTCTCTCTCTCTCTCTCTTTCTCTCTCTCCCCCCATACAAAGTAATGCATTTATTTCATGACTCTTCCATAGTCTCTTGGTCTGTTCATTTTCAAGTCTCATTATAGGCTGCATTGCTTTCTACTATAAGTTCCAGAAGATTTTATTAGAGGTGACTGATACAGGGTTTCTTTTCTTCCCATGAAGAGATAGTGTGTTGATGACAGTCACGCCTTGATTCAGCATCTTCAGAGAACTCAGGGTTGAGTTCTCTGAGCCTCTTGACCTTTCTGCTCTAGACACAAAGACAGAATTGGGCAATTTGTATTATTTTATCATCTCTCTCAAGATAGTTTCTAAATATTTGCACAAGAATAAGCTAAGAATAAAAACAACCCTGTAAATATCCCTGTTAAGGGTGGAGCCGTAACTATTTACACCTCCTGAAATAATTTAATAGCAATTGATAAGAAATAACAAATAATTTAATGGACAAATGAGCTCCAAGATTTAATGGTATTTCTCTGAGTAGGTTACTGGTCACATGACTCAATGCAGATGGTCTCCGCTAGGAAATTCTGCTTCGACAGAAGAAGATAACGCAAAAGCATTCAGATGACTGGGTCAGACCCACTCAGAGAACTGCCAGTGAATACGCCCCTTGTAATCAGCAGCCTGATGCACAAAGTGAAAACCCATCAAGTTCAGCTGTGCCTCCCACCTGCAGGCAAAGGTTTGATAGAGGACATGTTCCTAAGGATGGATACAATTTGGCCCATTTCAGAGTTCTGTCTGTAGCAGAGACTCTGTGAGTTATGTTTCCTGTGATGGTTTGCATCAGACTTTTAATGCACATCTTCAGAAAAGCTGCCTCTACATCCCATAATGCACCACCTATTCCTCAGAAAAGGAAACAGCAGGAAAGTCATCATCTGAACCTGTGATAAGACTTTGTCTCTGTGTCTGCTTTTCTATCTGCCTCTTTCTGTCCTCTCTCTCTCTCTCTCTCTCTCTCTCTCTCTCTGTGTGTGTGTGTGTGTGTGTGTGTGTGTGTGTGTGTATGGTAAGCTGTCCTGATCTACTGGACACATGTGATTGTCACTCACGCCCATTTATTCCCAGGGTAAGGCATATTTCTTGTGTCAAGGGTAGGAGACCAGAAGGTTCTGAGAACTCAGTGTGCTGCACTGTGGTGACCTGGCTCCACAAGAAATGTAAACCTTATCAATCCAGTGCTGATAGACATGTCAGCTTTTATCATTCCTGTGCTGGTAGGCTTTGCTGGTACTTAGGAGAGAAAGCCATGCCAGCCCACCTGGTATGCACAGTAGCCTAAAAATAAAAGCTTAAGGTTATTTATCATGAAACAGGATCACATGATGAAATAATCTAGTTTTATTTCTAACTTAGTTTTATTTTTAAAGTAAAGCCAAGTATTATGCAAAATTTGCAGAGCTTCTGTGTCCTACCTATGCATAGCTGCTCCCACATCAAGAGTATTCAACCCTATCTAGAGATCTGGATTTGTTACCAGCCTTGAGACTTCATTGGCACCACCATTATCACACAGAGGATTTTCATGTTTCACTCTTGGCGTCTTTCAATCTGTGGGTTTGGACAAATGCATATAATGGTATATATCCAACATTTTAGCATCATAAATAATAGCTTCATTTCTTTAAAATCTGGTGTAGGGCTTCTCCATCTTTTTCTGTCCCCAGGCCCTGGCAACTATTAATCTGTCTCCACCCTTTGCCCTGTGACCTCACCCTGTAAGGGTTGTAAGAAGTGAGGCTGACTCTTAGTTTTCTAACTGATGTTGAAAGACTGATAGTATTTTCATCCTGACTGTAAGATGACTATGAAATTCTACCTGACACTTACTAGCAACCATCTTATATTTGTCATTTTTATTACAGTTAATATAAAAATTAATCAATTCAAAAATATTTGATACTTAAAAGTCTGTGGGCACAAGAGCTTTAAGAGGCTTATATTTTGCATAATTCACTGTGCTATAAAATTAAAATGTGTAATCTATTATTAAATATATTATAAATCATATGCATTTCTGCTCAAGAGAGGTGAATAACTTATTTCAAGGAAGAAAATATTTTGTATTAGGACGAAATTGTGTAGCAGAAGGAACATGGGAATTTGTGAAGAAAATAGCACTTCTCTGAGGTTTGTTTTTCTTCTGTAATTTTCTGGACCTCTTAGCTAGCATCATCTTTTTTACTACAATAGACATCATTCACATAGCATGCTCTTAGTAAATAAATAAAAAGTGTTTACAGGAAAAGATACTTAATTTCATTTTTTCATTTCCGAAAGTTGTTAAACAGTTTTATGACTGTAGAAGAAAAACTTCAGGAGAATCTTCAATATGAGCTAGCACAATTATTTCAGTGTTCCCTCCCCTGAATCTTCTGTGTAAAACATCATGAAGAGAAAAGGCCCAACAGTTTTCTACTGAAAATTGGGCAAAATCTCTAGGGCATAAAAACTTGAGAAGTAATTCTGGTCCCTTGGAAGGAGTTCTATGCTCCAAAATGCCTCAAGTAGAGCCTACTGCTCAAAGTCGAAGTTCTCTGTCCAAGAAGAAGACATGGTAGAATCCATCTCCATCTTTAGAAATTTTAAACACCCTTAGCCAGAGTGTTTATTGAAGGAATGCCAAAGTCGGAGATTGAGGAAGATACCACAATACTGTTTAAATCTAAAGTAGTGCAAGTCTTGTGGATCTCTCCTAGGAAAATTGAAAACATTTCTTTCTGCACAAGCTCAAAGTCCTTTCTAGGTGGGTTTGGGGGTTTGTGATAGAGGAACCAGACTTTCTTATGCTTTGTAGAAGGGATTTTCACCTTTCAACTTTAACCTCCGGAGAGCTTTTCTCAGATGTTTGGTATATAGCAGAGCCTTCTTGTCCCAGGCTTTGTGCATATTTAAGGCTTCTACCACCCCCCTAACAAAGACCGTGGCCATAGCTGCCATGGTGATGGCTACATTCTCAGACACAAAATTACCAGTGACAAACTGCATCAGCCCTTTAATGCACCTCCTGCAGAAAGCTGACTGGCAGTGTATCTCAAAACCACTCAGCTGCTCCTCAGAGAAAGAGGACAGCAGGGGCCCCTTCCTCCATATCTCTTCCTCATCCATTATAGGCCTCTTCCTCTTTTGTCCTGTGATATGTTTTCTCAGGCTTTGGGCCTGGGGAGGAAATGAGGATGACTGCTGCCTGCCTCCTGCCCTTGAAACCTGGTTCTTCAGTACTTTGGAATCATGTTCCCTGTGGCTGGTCTCACGCTCATCGTGTTCTCCAAGACTGTTGGCCATGGTGGTCTGGGCATGGCTACCTTCTCATTGGACCCACTTGTCTATCAGCTGCGTTGAAGATGTGCATTCCATGTTCCTGGAGTCACGGTAGATCCTGGTGTCATTCCAGGTCTCCATGGAGATTTTGAAAAAGTTAGTTGCCACAACTGCTACCCTTCTCCTGGATCATTTAGGAGTAATTGGACCACAGTTCCTCCTTCCATCCCTTCCACACCTTCCATGGGTTTTATGCTTCCTACTATTTGATGAAATTTGGGGGTCTAGAGTATATATGGTTTATTTGTGGATTTTTTGTATTGTTTTGTTCTTTCCTTTTCTTTACTCTTCTCTCATACAATGCATCCTCCCATCCCTCTCCTCTCCCAGCCCCATCTGTCTCCACCTATCTTCTTCCATAGATCCTCTGCTCTTTCATTTCTCTTCAGAAAAGTGCAGGCTTCCCAGTGATATCAACCAAACACAGCATAACAAAATGGAATAAGACTAGGCATAAACCCCTTCATTTCAAGGCTTCTTGAAACCCAGTAGGAGGAAAAGGGTCCTGTGAGCAGGCAGAGTCAGAAACACCTGTAGTGAGAATTTTTTGTTTCTTTGGAAATAATAAATGTTATGAGAGCATGTTTTTGTTTTAATCCCGGGTGTGGAATATGGGGGAGGGAGCCCCATTTTCTGAGGAGTTCATACTGATAGGGGAAGAGGAAGGAGAGAGAAGGAAGAAGGTGAGACCAGGAGGAGAGGAGGGAGGGGAGCTATGACCAGGATGTAAAGTGAAAAGGAAGAAAGAAAGAAAGAAAGAAAGAAAGAAAGAAAGAAAGAAAGAAAGAAAGAAGGAAGGAAGGAAGGAAGGAAGGAAGGAAGGAAGGAAGGAAGGAAGGAAGGAAGGAAGGA